GGGCATCTCCCAGCACAGGCCTTACAGGATCCTGGTGCATCTGCATAAAGAAACACGTGTGTGGGCACTTCAAGAAGGAGCCCCAGGCAGGGTTTTATGTCAGCACCCCTCCTCCCCAAGTCCCTACGAAGCGCACCTTTCTTCCCTCCTACGGTCATGTGGTGGGCTTGCCTTAATGAAGGGGACCCTGGAGGCAGTGAGACACATTCACCCCCTCCCCAGAGCCCCCAAACCAGGATGGGCCACAGAGAGTGTGTCACATCTCGGAAGAAAAGCTGACATGCAGCCCTTTCCAGCACACAGTGAGGTGCCTGAGCAAGAAACAAGCTACTCTGCCTACCTTGAAGCCTGGAGCCTAGGGAATTGCAGTCCTGTGAGCCACGGGGCAGGTGGAGACACTCACCCTGGCCAGTTGTGTTCCTTGGGGCCCTGAGTAGCACACTCTGTGTCCCCCTGCCCTGCCCTGCCCCCACCCCCGGCCCCGATCCCACAGACCCTGCAGTCAACAAGGTGAGCAGATGCAAAGCCTATGGCCAGCACACCGAAAAAGGCCCTGCTGGACACCTTCTGTCCTCCCAGGCCATTGGCTGCAGCTTCACCAGAGGCCTTCTGGCCACCCCCAGTGATCTGAGCTGAGGTGATCAAGGCCAGTCTCACCTGGGGCTCTCAGGTTGACCTCCCTCATGGACTTCCCTTCCATCTGTCCCGAGGCCCAGGAACCCTTAGGGAAGGAAGGAGGAAGAGGGGAGGAGAAGCTGGGAAGCCCCACTGAGGGGAAGCCAGCACTAGCTGGGATCAGAGGGGGTGGCCTTCTGGGTCGGCAAACGCCCTGTACCTCCTGAACGGAGGAGCCTCTGAGCCTGGGCTGACTCCCCAAAGAACACACCTGAACAACAGCATCAAGGCTTGCAAAAACGTCCTGAAGTTATTGTGCCAGTTGATGCTGGTGTCATCATCCAGGGCAATATTTCCGAAAACCTGAAATGAGGAAGAAGGCTGCAGGCTGGTCCTGTTGGGCCCTCAGGAGCTGTGGCCAGGCAGAAGGGGATGTGTGCACGTAAGGACCCACAAGGCACAGGACGCTGCCCTTAGGCACCACCACTGCGGCAGGGGCTGGAGGGGCCAGAACTTCCAGCCAAACACATCACTGCCCGCCCCCCCTCCCATCTCCGCATGTCTACACCTGCAAGTCTGCATGCCCAGTATAAATGCCACCCGGAGCTAAGTTTACGTGTGCTGCGCTATATATAAGACAGGAAGCATTTGAAATTTCACCCTGTCATCAATGACTCCGAAGCAGTAATTTTATTGGTAATAGCTATGAGGTCAACTTGAAAGTTACTTTCTAAATTTCTGTGCAAATATCACAATGGGCTTTCTAACCATTTTAATTGATTTGTTTTTAGGGTTAGGAATGCAAACAAGTCAGTAACTATACTTGGCTTAAAATCTGGAATCTGGCTGAAAAATTTATGAACTATCACATATTCACCAAAAACAAAGATCAGTGACCCTTCTGGTCTTATAAATTCCCAAAACAAAGCAGGCACAAATATATATATATTTTTAAATAGCATCCGATCTCAGGAAATTTTCCAGGAAGAGAACCTTTTCAATCCCTGAAGTAGAGTTTAAAAATCACTTTTCAGCTAACCTTTAAGACAATGGCTTCTCCCACTATAATTTGACATTTGGATCCATCTGCCATCCTACTGTTGAAAAGTGGCCAGATGCCAAATATTTAAAACTGGAACACTGCTTTCTCTTTTAAATGTTTTTCCAAGTAGGTGACAAAGGGTTCTTTGGCAAAATAAAGGCAATCTAACTTATCCAAGCTAAACTTGACAATACAGTGATCTGGTGTGATCCTGTTGAATTTTTTCTTCTGTAATATATAACTTCCTGTAAAAGATCAGGTGAACTCTCTGGATTAACAGAATGACCAGCGGGTGCGTTGCAGGCCACTCAGCACCAGGCAGATGTGCTCAAAAGCTCCACCAACATGGAGGCCGGGCACTCAATCAAACATGCCCATCAACACCCTAACAGCCCAATTGGGTTCCACTCAGGAGCACAGCAGAGCATTTTCCCACAGACGGTGGTGCTATGCCTCACTAGTGGACTCTGGGGGACAGGCCCAAACCCGTGGTGCCCAGCCACTGTGTCCTTATTGGTAGAACAGCCTTTCTGAGAATTACGTTCATAAAGTGCTTCAAACATAGAAATGTTCCCCAAGTGCAAATCTGTCATTGATACCATTTGATGACCATGATCAGTGCCCTTCTGCCCCAGGGCACAGGGGCCCCTTGTTCCCTGTCCCATCAGGCTCACCCACCTGCATGCCGATGATGGCGTAGATGAAGAACAACATGGCGATGAGCAGACACACGTAGGGCAGGGCCTGGGGAGACATACAGAGGACAGGGCAGCTCCAGGGAAGGCTGCCCAGCTACCTTGCTCAGGCCTTGTCTGCAGAGTGGACGGTGGCAGGGTCTCTAGGGCCAACCAGACCCCAGCGACCGCAAATCCACCCCCACTGGCCATGAAGCCCCTCCACCAAGAGACCGCCTCAGTTCCTTCATCTATAATCAGTCATAGAACCCACCTCAGAGTCAGTGAGCATTACCAAGATGCTCTCTGAATCACTTAAAATGTCTTTGTAAACTACAATTGGATAACGGGTGCCAACAAGGAGCCTCCACGAGGAGGGGCTGCTCTGGTGGCGAGGAGGAGGTGGTGGCCACAGCACTGTGCATCACACAGGGGAGGGTCAGGGCACGAGGGCCATGTCTGGGCTTTACCTTGAAGGACTGGAGGAAGGTCCACAGCAGGATGCGGACGGTGTAGCCTTGGCGCAGCACCTTGATGAGCCGGACAGCACGGAAGAGGTGGAGAAAGCTGAGGTTGATGAAATTGTTCTGTAGGGAAGAGAGGCTGTTCTCTAACCTGCGGAGACCAGCCTCCTGCAACTGCAGGTGCTGTTCCCCACCCACCTCTCCCTGGCATGCTGTGGTCCTGAATAAAAGTGCATACAAAGAGAGATCAAACAAAATGTCACTGCTCTACAGTATAAGCAGCAATCGGCCACCAGAATACATTCCAAAATAAAGCTTGTCATTGCAAATCACTTCTCATGCAGCAAATCAAAGAAACCCCTCTGCTTTAGGCTCCCCTGCACCCAACAGGGAGGGAGAGAGAGAAAAATTCTCAGAAGCAACTCCTTGCTGCCAGGTGGAGCCAGGAGACCAACTGTGGATGGGCCTCTAACACTAACCCCTCTTGCAAGACACAGCCAAGCCGTCCAAGTGCCGGGCAGGGCTGTTTCTTCACCGAGAGCCTCTGAAGGGCCCTTTGCTTCTCCATACGGCTAGCAAAGCCCCTGCTGCCTGGGACCTGGAGAGGGGCAAACATCTCTTCTGGGGCTGCTCCTGGTGCCTGCAGAGAATTCACCATAAGAACGGTAAGTGTTGCCGATCCTGCTGCCCACACCACGGAAACCACTTATGAAATCCGCAAATGGTCCCAACTCCAGAGATCCCAGGGTATCTAGCACTGCTACCTCATCCAAGAGTTTCAAAATCAAGCACAAAAAGAAGCAATAAACTCTGGACTCCACAGATTACCTGGGAGTGAGGCTTCCACCCTGGCCCAGGGGCGCCTTGAGTTACTGGCACATCCCTTTCAGGGAGCACGGCTCTGGACGGTGTCCACGATGTGGGGGTGCTAGTGGCCCTGGGCAGTCTCCCACCCTCTCTCTGCTTGGAGACCAGGTGCTGCACGCAGCTTGACAGCAGCTTCCTGCCACTTTGGTGTTTTAACATATACAAGCAGCTCAGGCCTAGACACATCGTATCGGCAGATTCAGTGGTCAGATGAAGAGAAAAGAACACGACATGTTGAATGAGAGCAGCAGTAGGAGAGCACGTGCAGGAGGCATGGGAAGCCTGGGGAGAGCTGGCCGTCCTCCCTCCAGGGCTGCCCATCTGCTCTAGGCTGGGCTGAGGCCTTTGGTGGAGAGGCAGGTCTCATTCTTACTTCTTTTTTTTTTATGCTTTCTTTTCCTATGATAACCATATTTTATTGTCACATCTCAGTGTGCAAAAATATAATAAATCTTTGTAAAAAAGTACAGAACATTTTTGCTATGGATCCAGGCAAAAGTATGACTAACAAAAATTTCCAAACAGAGGATAGTAAACGCTTAGGTGCATTGATTTTGGGTACTACAGTGACCCTGTTCTCATTATGCTATGGACCCAAATTAATCGACTTTAATGATGATACGCTTAAACTACAGCGTGCCAAGTGAGGCAAAGCAACAGTACCCTAGAGAAAATATAACTGAAGTTTTTTGATGAAGACATGGAATAATTATAGCCTAAAAGATTTCATTTTTCTGAAAAAGTAGATGGAAAGGCGCTATGCATAGGAAAGTGGCTCAGATTCAAGATTCAAGTTTATTTTTCTTTTAATCGCTTCTGCAGTGGACTCTAGGTTTCTTTTTCGGTTTCAAAAGTGAGGCTACGGTCTACAAAAAAATGGTACTAATGAATACAGCATACAGGCCTTTAAAAAGTGGGATTATACCAGCAGTTTGGTGACATACTGGTAGAGCTGTTCTGTAAAAGCTGCAGAGGAAAACTTTTCCTTCACCCTGGCTCTCCCTGCCAGTCCCATTGTGGCTTTTAGGGAAGGCTCGTGGATGAACTTTTCCATCGCTTCTGAGAAATGCACTGGGTCAGGCTCACACAGAAACCCTGTGACGCCGTGGATGACGGACTCCAAGGGCCCACCCGAATTCACGGCAATGACCGGGCACTGCATGTACATGGCCTCCAAAGGGACGATGCCAAAGTGTTCGTTGCTTGGTGTGTAAAGCACAGAGGTACAGCCATGGAGGAGCGCGATCTTCTGTGTGTCTGAGAAAGACCGCAGGAAGGTCACACACTGTCCAAGGTCGGACTGCTGGACCATTTCCTTCAATTCCTGATAGTGTTCCACATTCTCCAGGACTCTTTCATCATAACCACCTGCCATGATCAGATGAACCTTGTCCCAGTCCTGGGATGTCAACCTTCCACGCAGTTTTCCTAGGGCTTCCAGTGCCAAAGTCAGGTTTTTCTTCCTTTCGTATCTATTGATGGAGAGGAACAGGAATTTCTTCCCCTTGGGGACGAGGTCATCGAGCTTTTCAGGAACAGTGGAGTCAAAGCTGGTGACATTCAGAGATGGGTAGAGGACATCGGGTTCTATGTGAGACAGGGACTTGAATGTTTCCTTAAAAACGGCAGCTGTAAACCTGCTGTTGACTAAGATGCAGTCCGCCATGCCTGTGGTGTATTCCTCTATCCAGTCAATTAGGGCCCTGTATAAGTGTTTCAGAAAAGAATCTCTCCTGGTGAGAAGCAGATCTGGGAAGTGACAATAAAACAGGATCTTCTTGGGCCGTCTGGCCAGCTTGAGCACTGGGATGCAAGCAGACACCTGCAGCTCGCGGCTGTCCGCGAAGCTGTGGCCAGGATCATAGTGCGCGGTCCAGATCTTGACGCTACAACCGCGCGCCTGCAGCGCCAGTGCCGCGTCCAGCACCAGCCGCTCGGCACCGCCCACGCCCAGGTCCGGGTGCAGGAACAGCACCGATGGGTTGGGACCGGGGTCTTCGTCTTGGCCCCGCTTCTTCGCCATGGTCGGGGAGCCGCGCTAGCGGCCCGCGCCCTACCGGGCTTCCACGCATGCTCCTTCCCCTCACTCATACTTCTAAGTACAGTGGCCACAACCGTGCCCATGTCTACCTCTTCAGTTCCCACTGGGGTGGCTGGAGACTAGACTGTCTCTGCTGGAGGGCCAGATGTCAGAGCCATGGGGTGGGAGGTCTGGTAGTCACAGGGAGGTGCTGACTGTGGTCCAGATCAGCAAGAAGGCAGGAGTGGACCTTGAGGTGTGACCCTGGAGGGCACACAGTTTGCCTAGAGCTCCCTCACCTGTTTGTGCTGGGGAAAGAGAATCTCAGTGGTACAGGATGGCCAAAAGACATCCACACCTGCCCCGTGGGCCCCAGGTTCTCAAATGAGCCAGTCCCCTCGGGAGGATGGGCACAGAGATGGAAGGGAGAATTTGTCTACAGTGCTGGGAAATCCTCTGTAGAAGACAATAATGCAGAGGAATGGGAGGGAGCTTCCAAGGGCCCGAACTCTAAAGCACCTACTCACTTGGGTTTGGAGGGGCCAAGACTGTGATAACACAGTTATCATTTGCCCAGCCCAAAGTGCTCTTCTCAGGCCACTGGCGCAGATGAGAAGATTTCCTGGAGATATTGGGGATAATCTAGGGTCTGGGTGAGAAAGAAGGGATGGAAGACAAGGCAGGGGAAGGCAATGTCCATCTACATAGTGCATGAATGCAAAGCTCAACAAGTCACCTGCTACATTTTGTTGAGACTCAAGTTCTCACCCATCCTCCCAAATGTCTTTTCTCGGGGCTCCAGTGGGCATTCGGGAAAGGGGTGGCGGTGGCAACAGACTGACAGCCCTAGAGAGCCATGAAGACAGATGGCGACAGCAGCCACAGTTACTCCGGGCACAGCGTGGCAGGCAGAGGACTCCGTGGCTGTGCCCAGGGCGGGAACTGCCAGGCAACACCATGCAAGTGCATGCAGGAGAGCAGGGGGCGGCAAGCACACGGCAGCCTCCCACGGCTATGCATAGTCACCTCTGGCCTCGGCCAACCCCTTGGAGATGGACATAGCTTGCCCCATCCTCCCAGAGTCCGTGGTTTCTGTCATACCAGAGAGCACCTACTACTTCCCCTACTACTTTAAAGCCAGGACCTTCCTTATTGCCATCTGCCTCTGCATCAGGAAAAGTCTAGGGTGCCTGGGTGGCTCAATTGGTTAAGCGACTGCCTTTGGCTCGGGTCATGATCCTGGAGTCCCAGGATCGAGTCCCGCATCGGGCTCCCCTCTTAGCGGGGAGTCTGCTTCTCCCTCTGACCCTCTTCCCTCTCGTGCTCTCTATCTCTCATTCTCTCCCTCGTAAATAAAAAAAATAAAATCTTTAAAAAAATAAGGAAAGTTCTCGAGCACCAAAAAGATGCATCATCACACCTCTCAATGTGGTAGCTGATTCACCTTGAGGGTACACTGGTCCCTGGCTCCTTTGAGCCCCTTGCTTCCTCATCCACAAGATGGAGACATTAGGACATTGTGCCCAGATGGTGAGGAGTCTGAGATTTAAGGGATTTAAAGGTACGCCGGGCATTGTGAAACATGGCCCCCACAAAGGCGATCAACAGGCCTCAGACCCGGATCGGCATCTCCTGCATCCAAGTACATCACTTTTTCCAGTCAGGGTCAAGGAAAGTGACCTGTGCATATCTGCTGGGGGCCACAGTCTATGCTGTAACAAACTGTTCTCCTAATCAGCTTTGTTCCCATGGGACAATGATGAAGAAAAGAAAAGTTCTGTATACCCCAACATGCGCAGCATGGCCTTACACCACCCCTTTTTGAATCATGAAGACAAAATCTCCAATCTCCTCCAGCCCTGAGACCCAGAGAGGGTTCCCTATGGAAGGGCATGTGTGCTCTGGAGGAGGAGGAAGGGCACGGGGAGGGGGGTGCTCTTCCCAAATGGACAGAAATGGCTACGAAAAGGCCTGAGTGAGTCGAAAATTTCTGCGGCATCAAATGGCATATTCTCACAACTCAAGATCTTCTGCTGCACTTGTGAAACACTTTATCGTTAATGTTCGTTTTGTAACAGGAATCTCAAATATTTGCTACGTTATGTGAATTTCCAGTCACAGCTTCAGTTTAATCTGCTCCTGGAATCTTTGCTCTCCTCGCAAACATCCATGAAGGCCTGGAAGGAAGCCCCAGTTCATGCTACCTGCACTCCACATGACCTCACGGAGCAAGGGTGCACAAGTGGATCAATGATGCCTGGGTGCAAGAGCCCTGAGCTTCACTGTCTCTGGGGGCAGACCCTCTTCCCACTCCATCAGGCCTTACACCACCCCTTTTTGAATCATGAAGACAAAATCTCCAATCTCCTCCAGCCCTGAGACCCAGAGAGGGTTCCCTATGGAAGGGCATGTCCAGGGAGAATGTTACAGGAGACATCGTCAGAGGCCACCGGGGAGAACCAGCCTTGTATGTTGGTACAGTGGGGAAGGGAGCAGAAGGGAGATGGTGAAGAGAAACCATGGGCTTTGTAGGATCAAGTCCAAACTCATGTCCTACAAAAATCTCCCCAATTCTGAGCCCGATCCCGACAAGAAACACTGGGCACTTGGCCGCTTCACTCAGAAGAACCTACACCACCTCTCTAGACCCAAGGCCAGCTCCTGAATCCAGTGGCTCCTGGGAGGGCCTTCAGAAACCCCTGCTGGACCCCAGGTACTGAGAAGAAGAGGCCAGAGGGGATGGGTGTACTGCCAGGCTCTGACCACACCCCTCAGAAAGGCAGTGGTGAGGGGTCACAGGAAATGGAAGGAAGAAGAAGGAGGAGAGCAAGGAAAGCAAGGAGTTTTAAGAACTGCTGAAAGTCATGAAATGAACCGTTTCCTATATGTGACCTTTTCATGGATGGATATTTGCGTATTATTTACAAATTGGGATGTTTGAGCAGCAGGTGTGCAACATACAGATGGAGACATGGTTTTTGCTTTGTCTCTTGGTTGGATGGCATGAGTCAGCAGGTAGGTTAAGGTAAATCAAGAACAAAAACAGAAAGCAAAAGAGAAAATGAGTCACCAACAAGCAAAAACTCAAACTTTGAATACCTCGCTGGAAAATTTGAGGATTTTAGTAAACTTTGCATATTTGGCTTAAAATGCATCAAATCAAAACATATTTTTGAAATCTGTAGGTTATGCAGACAGGGTGGCATTCATTTGCATTCCTGTTTGTAATGCAAATCCAAAGATGACTCACAGACACTTATTTTTTTATTTCCAGGCAAAGAAATCAATGTCGGTTTTATGCTTGCTTGGGAATGCTGTCTCTACATGACCCTGGTTAAGACTACTACTCTATTTTGATTAAGGTGGTGGTGGGAACTGAAACTCATCATTTGCCTAAGGAAAAAAAAGTACATTCACAAAGTAACATCTGAAGTGACAACAAATGAACAAAAATAAAGACACCACTAATCCACATGACGACTTCCTTTCATCATTTCCCCTCTCGGCAGGACTGGGTGAAGGACTGATCTCTGAGAGCACCAGTGGACAGGGCACAGCACAGCTTCCAAGCCAAGCGGCTCCTCAGCCCTCCCACCGGCCCTGCTAGGCATCGGGGGCCGACAGCAGCGGCCATGGAGGGCTTATTTGAAGCAAGGTCTGATACAACCACAAGCCCCCTTGGCCTTGCGTGTCCAACAGCCGAGGTCCAGACACTGGGCTACTCCAGCCACCTGCTCTACAGAAGGTCTCTGCCTTGTGTGCCGCCCTCTTTGGAGGTGGAAGTTTCCCTGCAAGACAGCTGGGCGTCGTGCTCTCTGCATGTCTGGCAACCCCCACCCTTGATGCCTGCTCATCAGTCCGCCCTCTTGGGCGAGGAGGCACACACATGAAGAAACCCCCAGAGCTGTGCCCTTGCAGACAGGAGCACAATGTCTGGATCCCTTTATCCAGGGAACAAAGATGCCTGTGTCCAAGGACGAGGCCCGTAAGGATCAGCAGCCAGCTTGCTCCTCCCAGAAACCACACTGGTACGAATTATTTTTGGATGAGAAGCACTTGGGCAATGCCACAATGCCAATGGTTGGTGTGACAGAACATCCTTGGTTTTTGTGTGAAAATGGCAGCTCAGAACTTTCCCCCCATTATTTGGATTATTAATTTTTTAAAATCATAAAACATACCACATACACAAAAGAATATGTATAAATATGTGTACAGATGCACATTTTCAAAGAAAAATCATAAATTGTCCATATATTCATCACCCAGCTTAAAGAAAACAGAATGTTACCATTACATTTGAAGCACGTCCTGTCTCCCTTTCTCCTCCCCAGATGTAGTAGCTACCCTTAGTTCTTGTTAAAAATTGCTTTTCTTTACCGTCTTATGACAAACTCTTAAAATGCGTTATACTTGACTTTTCTTAGCCTTTTTAATGAGACGCAACCGTATGCAGCCTTCGCGGACTTGGGCAAACTTGTGCTGACGGCAAGCAAACTCTGCTTCTGAAAAGCATCCCTCTTGATGTGGAGACCACCACCCTCCAGTGCGTGCGGCACTTCACTATGTTCAAGTCCCTTAACAATCAGTGTGTTCCGCTGCTACTGTGAACAAGGTAGCCAGGACATTCTGTGTGAAAAAGTGTCTCCAGGTCACCTGCCCAGACACCCTCTGGCTTATGTGCTTAAGTTGCTGCAGGCAGGCATATGTCAAGCTTTCTAAGGACTGCCACACTCTTCCGAAAAGGTTGTCCAATAAACACCCCTCGCAGTAGCGTGGAGGTTCTGGCTGTCCCACTTGCTAACCATTGGCATGGCTGGAATTCCTGATTGACGTTTGACAAACTGGAGGGTGTGAAATGGCATCTCAATGTCATTTCACTTTACATTTCTTTAATTACAAATAAGGGTGAGCAGCTTTTCCTATGTTAATTTGTCATTTCTGTTTCTTATTCTTTTAGTAAAATGCCCAATTATGCCTTCAGTTCATTTTTCCATTCAGTTGCTTTTGTTTTTCTTAATGATTCACCGAAGAGC